CACCCTCTCTTTAGTCAGGCACTCCTTTAGGCCGTGAAGAGACTCCTCAGAGTGACGTCCTCGTAACACTGGAGAGGTGCAAACCCACTCAGAGTGCAGCGTTGAAGGACCGCGCCGGCCCACCTCGGCCTCCTTGATGGATGCCGGTCGGGTGCGTCGCTGGCTTCTGGTGATGGGTTCTACTTACAGAGCATGACAAATCACTTCTGTGCCGCTTTGTGCGATTGTTGTTTCCAGGTGTGTTTTGGCGGCCGAGGCGTGCTCAGGGCATCACGGTCCCCTGCGACAGAGACCGGGTCATCTCTGTGTGGACGAAGTAGGTCTTCAGCTCCCCTTTGCCCTTCACGTTGATGATGCCGCGGCATGAGCACATGTAGCCCAGGTTGGATAAGATGCCACTGGTCTCTTCTGTAACCTGAATGTCACAAAATCCTTTGGATTATTGAGAAATAATAAAGCTGCCAACATACCTGTGCTAGCTGGCTAACTTTTTTGTGTCTAAAGTGGGTGAATTTGTTGACACACGGAGAGCAATGAACAGTACTCAGAGACAAAAGTGATCGCTTGATGGACATGCATCATACAGACATCTTACCTGGATTTTACCCAGAACCCCTGTGGTTTCCATCCTGCTGGCCACATTAACACTATTCCCCCAGATGTCATATTGAGGCTTCTGAGCCCCAATGACTCCCGCTATCACCGGCCCATGGTTAATACCTGGCAAAACAGCAGCATAACCAAAAGAGATAGACATTGGGGTAATCTTCACAAATATTCAACAAAACGGATTCTAAATGAAAAAGAGGGAAACAAATATGCAGTTTTAAGGTTGCAGGAGACGATTCATACCTATTCGCAGCTTGAAGTCATTAAAAGAGTGTTTGTTGATGACATCTAGCTTCCCAACGAGAGCAAAGGCAAACTCTACCATGGTGCCTATGTGCATGTACTGTCTGTCGTGTTCCTGAGAGAAATGCAGAGTGAATGGAAACGTGTGTTAAGGTGAACAGCAACAAAATCTCTGTCTCAATGACAAAAACACGAGGAACTCAAACTGGAGTCACAATCTGCAAATGTGCTCAACAGATTGTCAATATTCAGCTAATGTAGAATAAAACAAAATTTTGCAATTGCAGTTTTTCTATTAAATAAGAGCTGTGATAACACATGAATAAGTTTGTTTATGTGATAAGTTATTATTGCGACATCATCATCCAACTACTTCCTGTCTTCTTTGTAGTTTGTGCCAGTGGAAACTTCCAGTTGTTGATCACGTGACTCATTTGATGCTAAAAAAAAATGCTTCTATTGCATGAACCAGCTTATCCCTGTGTGATTTTAATTTTATTTCTTATGTAATGGAAACACCACAGTTGTGAAATTATGTTTCTTTCAACATCAGCAGAATACAGACAAAAATCTGCATCCATTTGTAATGGAAACGAAGCCACAGTTATCCTAGTTTGCCTCCATGACGTCTGCTCACAAAATCAGTGACCAAAACGGAAACGAGGAGAGTCGTTTCTCTTTGTCAAATCCATAAAATAAACTGTACTTTTTAAAAGTGATGGTAAGAATGAGAAATGAAACCATGGGAAATTGCGTCAGAACCTTTTCTGCCTTTTAATGTGACATTTATCCTATGCAGCTCAACTGAAATCAAAACACATCTGTATGAAGAGCCTGTCATGTCACTTCCTGCCCCACTTCCTGTTCTTCGTGGTTTATTCACTCTGGCAGTACTCAAACCTGGGTCTCAGCAGGTTGGAACCAATCGCTGAATTGACAGTGATTAATTACTGTCTTTGGTTCAATCTGTTTGAAGAGAAGCTGGAAAAGAAGAAAAGAGTTGGAACAAGCTGCTAGCATAACTATCCATTACAGGAAGTAGTCTGCCTAAGTCTGCACCTGCTACAGGGAATCTGATGAACCACAAATAGAGATCGGCTGTCCTTGTGAGGTTAGCATGAAATTTGCTCGTTTGAATCATTCAGGTTAAGCCAGAGTTCGCAGAGAGGTCACTAAGGATTTCATGAACCAAATACGTACAGTAAGTCCTCAAGATTAAACGTAACTGCTCTGAAAATGTAACCCCTTAAATACATAAATATAAACCAGTTAACAGTGATTAGAGAAGGTTTCTGTCTCAGTTTCTCTGACCAGGTCTTTGTTTTATAAATGATCAACATGTAAAATGAAGAAACTTCTGGCAACATGAAGAAGGTCTAAGAACTTTGACAAAAGGTGAGAAACAAAGTTGTTGAGATGTAATTCAGTAACTAGCTTTAAAATCATTTTGGAAATGATTTTAAAGCCATTTCTACATTTTAGAGCCTACAGCGAATCAGAGTGTCAGTAGCAGCTTAGCTTATGCACCCGGACAATGACCTGAAGTACACAAGCTACTTTATCTCTAGAAAAAAGCTAACTTAAAGTTTGGAGAGGCCTAGTCAAAGTTTCAAAAATGGCTTGGTCATAAAATCCTATTGAAATGCTGTGGCAGGATCTTAAACATGCTAATCACACTTAAATATCCTCCAGTGGGGCTAAGACATTTGCCAAAGAACACTGGATCAAAATTAATCCATGGTGATGTCATTTCCTGTTATTACAAAAGCTTGATGGGTTTAGAAAGACAAAGTGCCAGGTGGGTTTGGATAATTCTTTTTCCCCCTGAAATGAATAAAAATATTTGAAAACTGTGTTTTGGTTTTGGTTAGATTATCTGTGACTGATTAAAATTAGTTTCACGATTTACTCTATCAGAAAATGTCCTCAAAGTCAGAGATCTGGAGAAAATGTTACAACCTAGAGTGGGGAAGTTTAACAAGGTCAGGATGTGGTTGACTAGTTAAAGAGCGTACACTTTCATGTAACTACTGTCTGGTAGTTTTTTTGTTTTTTTTTTTAAATTTGGGGTTAGTAGTTTAATTGTACAAAAAAAATGTCACATGAAAACTAAAAGGCAAAAATAACTACAAATGTTGATTGAAGAGTCTGGCCCGTTGGATGTTAAGATATATTTAAAGAAAATCTCTTGACTGATGCAGCAACAGTGTCTGAATAGGAGGCGGGGCTGAGTGGACACCCAATTAATCCAGATTTTCAACAATCCGGCAGATCTCCTGACACAGCGCTGATGTCTGAACAAGACCCCCATTTGTTCACATGCATTCAGATGTGCGGCAATGAATCACTGATGGACGGGTGACGCTGCTGCAGATTTCATGGAGCGACCCACACGGGGCTTTTAGCTGCGCTTGGAAAGCCGTTGACGCTGCGATGCTTTTCACTGCCCCATTTTTTGAGGCCTCAGGCAGCTGTAGATAATTAGAAGGGAAAGTCCAGGGACTTGTCAAATGTACATACAGAGACTAAAAAATAACCCTCTGTTGACTCCTTGCATGAAGCCGCTGTATTCTCAGCATAGAGCCTCCAAAAGTCTTCATAACCAATCAACTTCTTGGCAATTTGTCACATTACGACAACAAGCTTTAGTGTTTTCAATTGGGGATGGTTAGTAATAAATCCAGGAGAAAGTAGAGTGTGTCAAGTCTGGTGTGCATTTTGCATTAAGGCCAATTTTAGTGCATCATGTTACTGTAAAGGTCTTTCAAGTATGGATACTAGCATACAAAATTAGCATACTCAACCCTCAGGTCATATGTTTTTCATATTTACCATTAGCCACTTGAATTTTTCAAGATGGCCGTCTTTTTTTTTTCTTTCTCTTTTAACCAGTTATTGCCATAAAATGCCCCTCATTTTGGTCGTCCTATTATACTATTTTAAATTAATATGTAACAAAATCAGATGGCAAAACTGAAACAGAGGACTTTTCTGTTTGTGGTTTTCACACCAGTCGTCAACTGAGACAAAGATATGTAACATCATCTAAATAGTTAGCAATAGCTTCTGCCACTTTTATTAGGTGGTTAGCGGTTTAGCATTAGCTTAGCTTCCCCATATTTTTCTATATGTAGCATCTTAGCAATAGCATTCTTTATTTTTTCATGCGTCTCACATTGTAGTGTTAGTTGGCTCAAATTTTTTATGTGTTTAGCAGTTAGGTGTTAGCAGAGCTAAAACTCTTGTTTACAGAATAAGTGGCTACTGAACCTAACTTTCTGTTAAGCTGCCCACAATGTCAATACCTACAGCCGATCTTAGTGCAAACATAAGATCCAGATCTTGGTGGCCATTTTGAACCACATGATTTCTATGGTTCAAAATATGTAGGCCATGTTTTGACAGCAAACACATTCATCTAATTGACAATTTTAGTGAAGAAATTTATTTTCCATGACAACCATGGTGGCCATCTTGAAAAATCTAAAAAATTATCAGTAAATCTGAAATCCATGGGTCCAGTTATGAATGATTTAACACTAAATGTATTCATCTTTGATAAATACGGGCAAATCAAGAGCAAAAATTAATTTTCCTTCACGACTGTGGTGGCCATCTTGAATTTTTTAGTGGCTGAGATTTTTTAGTTGTTTTTTTTTTTTTAAAGCAAGCTGCTGGAAACATGGGTGCCAAGTTAGGTCCTTGATGCACACGTGAAAGATTTTGGTCAGTTATCTCCTGTACTATCTGTAGACCCCACCCTATGTTGCAATTAAAGCTGCAGGTCTTTTGGTTATGTTTCTTTAAGCTTCGAACATGGAGATTCAAATTTCTGCTGATTGTTGTCAGGAGTCAGACTGAAATTGAACATCAATGTTACAAAAGTTATGAAAACCAACCTCTCTTACCTCCCACATAAATCCCAGTAAAATACATAGACATAGTGGTTTGATTGGGACAGAATGCACTTGTAGCTACAAGCTACTTGTCTTAGGATTTGCTGAGTCTTACTGTTGAGGTGACAGCTTACTTGTGTGCACTCTGGTCCTGGAGCCACATTGAGCCCAGTTGCAGCCATGTAGGTGCTACCAATGGTCTTTATCTTCTCCACGCCGCTGAACTTGGGCTTAGACAGCAGCTGTGAACGCAGAGGGAAGCCAGCACTAAGCGTGAAACCGGAGCAGCATCCAAACGAACGCCTGGCTTTGTGCTCCTTCCGCTCAGGAGCATCATGACACTTCACCGGAGAAGGTCAGAAATCTTTCTTTTGTCTTTTTCCACACTTTCAGACAGTCAGGATTATTAGTAAGAGAGGAGTTTACCTCATCAAAGTCGGCTATGATCTCGTTGAGAAGTCGGAGGCACTCCAGTCCTTCCTTATTGACATCAGACTCGGTGTAAAACTCTTTGAAGTCCGGGATGGAGGCGAACATCACACACACTGACTCGTATGACTGATGATAAAGATCCTGATAACAAGCAAAGAAGAAGAAGAAAAAGGAAAAGAAGAAGAAGAAAAAGATAACAGCTGGATGGGCCGTATCGAATAAGCACTCGCGCCAGAAAGATGAAGGGAAATGGCCTGTGGTTTCATCGGGCTTCACAAAAAATAAAATAAAAAAATAGCATGCCCTAAATGCCTCATGCTGAATACTGACACTTAGACTTTAAATAAATAAGAAGACGCTTTAATCATCTCTGCAGGGACGCCGGGTCCCCGTGGCAGCTGGAAAACAGGGGCATTCATCTTTAGAAAGGAGGAGGTAAGAACAGAGCAGCTCAGGTGACGCTCAGAGCGAAAGGGGTTTTGTCTTGTACAACTTTTTTTTGGAAATGTTTCAGAGCAGAAAGTAAAGCAAGTTATACTGGGTGAAGAGATCATGCAAAGTGTAACAGCTAAGAAAAACAACATCAATAACAGCATGCGAATGTGTACTACTTTATTGGCATCTACGGTAAATAATGTATGAAAAAACCTGAGATCAATTCATATATCACAATAAAAAAAATGAGGAGAATTCACTTGACTACATCTATTCATTGTGGATAAAAGCCCCACATTGTTAAAGGCAAAACCATTATTTTTGCCTGTAGAAAGAATTTCCTCTAAATAAACTCGAGGGTTGCTAACATTTCAACTTTATTCCTTTCATCAGGTTTTCTAGAAACTTCTGTTTAGTCGTCCACCATCTTGTTTTTCTGTGTGTTTACAACATGACACGGAGAACCGTCTCTTTCAGCCACTGGCCACAAAGCTGGACCTATTTTCATCTGCCCAGCACACAAAAAGAAACCTCAGAGGCTCACTGCAGAGAGGGGCATCTTGGGGGCCAGAACGTCTCCATGACAACCATTACAATAAAAAACGCCAGTAAGTTTTTTGGAAATGCTACCATCACAAATGTAAACATGAGGAAGTTGGCTTGACGCTAACAGAAACTTAACTGGCACTATAATCAGATTAGGGTAGGTGTCCCGATCAGCGCGATATCAAAGTTGGACCGATTTCCAGTATCGATATCAGAGCGATTTCTGATACTGACATGTAGACCCATTGGTTCATGATAAATGGCTCAGTTGTTCTCAGACCTACTGCTGCTGACTATTGTTCTCTGTTTGATTAAAATTGCTCAATCAAGTCTTTTCTAACATCATACACCACTAAATTAGTCATAAAAGTGTGTATGATTTGTGCTGATATCACGCCGGGTCAATATCAATATTGGCCAATGCTCATATCTGCGATATTAGTATCGTATCAGGAGGGAAAAGTTGTATCGGGACATCCAGATACAAAAAAAAGGCAAAAAAGGCTGTTGTTCATAGTATGAACAGCAGAGGGAACAATGTACTCATGCTGATATGGGAGTGTATATAAAATAATTCCTTCTAAGGCTTTGGACACATCTTCACCAGGGGTGCCACCCAGTTCAGTGTTTACTGGTCAGAGACGGTGGAAACCTGGAATGACTACTGCACTGCTGTTCAGCTTTTCTTGGAGAATAATCCTCAAATTTTCAATGCACGGTCCCCCTCCCGATGAGAGTGGCTGCCACTGTCGTAACTGGGTCACCGAGGAAGACGAGTGAGGCAGAGCTGAAGGCTGAAGTGAAAGGCGCAGGTGCATTACAGCACCTTTTACTTCACTGAGGCACGACTCAGTCAAAATACTCCCAGAACTATTTTATTATGCAGGCAGAGAAATATTGCTTATTTTTCTTTAACTGTACTATTTTTTAAAGCCTTTTCAAATCAGAAACTGTAAAAGATGGAGCCCAGTTTTCATGGATCCAGATCTAGAGCTTTGAGATTGCTACCAGCAAAGAGAGGAAATATGCTGCTTAAAAGTGTCTGCCACTGGTTCATCCCTCGAGTTTTTCATGTTTTAATGATTCACACGTCAGAGTCAAGTAACAAGGAACAAAGAGAAGATTCTCTTAGAAATTGTCAGAAGGGGCTGAAAATGTACTAAAATCATCCAAACAAAAACACTAAGAGTTTCAGAAAGTTCAAAAGAAATCCTGATCATGGCTACAATAAAGAATTTCAGGTCAGAAATGGCAAAATAGGAAGGAACGATGACTGACCAAAGACTTCTGCACGATAATATTGCACAATGACATCAAAGTCGCAACATTTGCTGATTTGATCTATGTTTTCCTCCATGAATTGACACCTAGAAACATCTTGGTATTTTTTTTTCACCTCATTTTTCCAGTTGCGTCCCAGGAAGTGCTCGGCCACGTGCGCCGGTAGGACATTCTCCAGCAGAACCCGGTTCAGGTTCTCCATGGTTTCTATTTCCTCACACTCCCTCTTGAACTTGTCCCGCCACAGGAAGTCCAGCCGGCAGTAATACTCGTTCTGTTGGAGGAGGATGAAGAGGAGAGGGAAGACTCTCTGTAAGCCTTGACTTAAAGACTTTTAGAAGGATTTTATGATCCTTTAACATAAAATAGAGGATAATTGTTAAGTAGAAGTAAAATTATACGATGTTTTCAAAACATTTAACAAATAGAAATCCAGCCAAGTGTTTTGAGGTGTGACACTATCGCTACTTCATCTCTACAAAATAGCTCAAACCCGATTGGGTAATGTCTGAAAACAACAGTTGAGTTTTGTCACAAATTTTTAGTTACATCTAGGTCTGTACTTTGACTGGGCCATTCTGACACATAAATGTGCTTTGATTTAATCCATCTCACTGCAGCTCTGGTTTAAATGCTCTGCTTTTCTTTCAGGATTGTTTTTTTATTTAGCTTCGAACGTCTTTCTGTAAACGCCTTGCTAAAGAACACAACCCCGCAGCATCATACTCCCACCACCAAATTTCACCACACATAGCAAATTACCTGAATCACTGCAAAAACACAAAATCTCACCAAGTATTTCTGGTCTAGTTTCCATTGTAAATATATAGCTGTACTGGGCCAGGGTTTGTGGTCGTTTGTGAGCATAAAGTTTTTCTGACAGGAATACGTGTTATTTTTCTGTGTTTTCTTTTCCTTTTCATGTTTCCTCTGTCAGTACAAAATATCTGCTGATATCCACAGTCGCTTCATTAAATTAAATCAACATTTACATAACAATACTATAAATAAATAAATATTGAACTGCAAAAACAAAAAATCTTACCAAGTACTTTTGTTCTAGTTTCTAGTGCAAATATCAACGTTCACTTGAAATTAGATAGAATTAACTTACAAGTAACTTTTCAGCTTGGTTGGCCCAATCAAGCTTGTTTTAAGTCAATAATTTTTTATATTGTTTTTTAAAAAAACTAGCAGATTATTCGACTTAAAACAAGACATTTTTCCAAGTTATAAGTAAAATAATCTTCCAGTGAAACTGATACTTTTCATTTGTGTTAAGGAAATATTGACTTGCTGAAAAGTTTCTTGTAAGCTAATTTCAAGTGTACTAAGAGATTTGCACTAAAAACTAGACCAAAAACACTTGGTAATATTTTTTATTTAGTTTTTTATTATTGCAGTGAAACTGACTTGATTGGTCCCTGAAATAAAGGCCTTGTGCAAAACTACCTTCAGCTTATTGCTTCTCAGTGGCAGGCGGCTTAATTTCTCTCCTAATGCGTCGCGACTGCGAGGCGGTCGTATTTGGAATGCTTGGTATTCATGGAAAAAAATTAGAGTGCCAATAACAAGACAGCGAGACAATGCGAGAAGCAGCGCAGCTATTGCTCAAGGAAAAAGCAGACAGAAGCTGCTTTGCATAAAACATAGCTGCTGCTTCCTTCTCTCTTTCTGTGCTTTTTGGTTATTCATGCTTGAGGTAGTTTTGAATACATCTGCATATGTTAGCAGGACTCGTATACGAAGGTCAAGACAACCCGAGGTTGCGTGTTCGCGCCTCCGTTTCCGGAGCGCACCGTCTCTGCATCCGAAGGCTACAAGGTTCTGGTGGGCGGGCTCCTATACCGACTGTCCAGGGAGATGTAGCTGATCAGCAGGTTGGATGATAGATAAATGCACCGAGTTATTTATTTTATTCCTTGACATTAGCATCAGACGTGGAAAATTTAGAAGATTCCACCACCGATGGACGGAGGGATTTTTTGGGGTTTGGGAGTTTCTGAGAAACAGCCTTCCACCTTCTTAGCACAAATTAACAACAGGCATCATTCGGGTTGCGTGTGTAAACGTAGACGAGGAGAGTCTACCTCGGCGAGTCTGGAAAGTAGGCCAGCTCATTCCAAATGCCGTTTAGAAAGCAGCTAAACGAGGCTGTAAATGAGTTTTGCTCCACTGTGCAACCTGTTCTTGGGGGATGAATCACTGATGCTGTTTTTCTTGTAACCTGATTTCTCCTCCCCTCTGAAGAAAGTTCTGAGAAAAGACCTCATTAGAGCTGATAAGAAATTTGGCGAGGAAAATTTGTTAACGGCCTGCTTGAAGCGTGCAGAATCGTTTTGACCGCCTCAACCACTCGGGGCAAAGAGGTCTTCCAATAATAATTTTAGCGTTAGATAATGGAAGAATTTTGTAATTGAAACTGAAAAAAAAAAGAAGTATTTTAAGAATCAGCTTCAAACAAGGAGTTTTAAATATCCTAGTCGGGTCAACAAAACCTTTATTTCTCTGTGACTGGGTCTCGGTGACCCAGAACGAGAACAACGCAAGAAGCCGATTGGGCCGATCACACATCTCTGGGGAGCTCCGGATGTGGGTACAGAAGTCCCAGCTCGGAACATCTGCTTTGACATAATAGATGTTACCCCTAAAAAAAGATTCAATTCCCCGCAGAAAATCTGTGTCAGAGGAGTTACGGTGTCACATGACGTGAGGACGGTGGCGGCGAACCAACATTACAGAAGACAAAAAGTCTGAAGACGTATTTTTATACCCAGAAAGCTTCTGGACTGCAAAAATATCCTTCTCTGAAGGAGTCAGAGTTCCTTTCCCCCCACCCCAACCGACCCCCAGAAGTCTCCATCTCTACTTACATGGAGCTGAAGATGATCTTTGAATGCTGAATTACCTAATTACGTAGTTATGACTGCAGCAGTGGCAGAGAAATCAAGTTTTATTATCAGTGATGTCTCCACGGGGGGCGAGCCACTCACCTGCCTGGCTAATACCAGCAGAGTGATGAAGAAGATGAACAGAGACACGGAGCCCATGGTCTTCAGGTCCTTCAGGACGCCCGGTCTGAAAAACATGTTTGAAAACCCTCACAATTATCACGTTCACTTAGAAACATTGTTTTAGTTTAACTGCAGGTAGTAAAGATGTATAAATTCATATTCATTTGTAGCAGTAACACAATGTCACAGATAAAAATGTGTCCATTTGCCAACAGAAAATCACTTTTTCCTCATGGAACATTTTACTACATAGAGGTTGTGCTCGACTTTGTTTTTGTTATCTGTCATTTTGACTGATGGCGCCTGAAATGTTACGTCAATCTACGTTTACCAGTTTTCAAAAATGATAACGACAAATTCAGTCACATTTAATTTTCATTCGGTTTAATTAACCGAATGCAAATTAAAAGCAACAAGCTGAACAGAGAATCCACAATGTGCTGTTATCCATGAAGCTGATGACTACATGCAACCTTTTCTCTGCAGTGACAAAAGCTACTGACTGTGGCCGCAATAATTACATAACACACACACAATGGAAATGAAACGATTGCATCTAAATTTAGGGTTAGGTTTAGGAACAGACTAGCAGTCGTTGGGATTAGGGAAAATGTCTGGGTTAGGTGTAAACTTAGTTACTAAAATGAATGGAAGGCAATGCAACAAGTCCTAATGTGAGTAATTGTGTTTTGTAGAAAAAAAAAGCAAAACTCACTAATAAATGTTCTTCTTAAACAGCATGATATATAAATAGTATTTTGTCCTTCTGCAAATATTCGTGACCCTTGAGGTTCTCTGCAGTCTTATTTATTTCAGTTTTGCCCTGCTGATGAAATAGTCAGCATTGCAGGATGGCCATTCCACTCCTGTTGTGCTTCTTAAAGTTTGCAAAATATGGTTTAGTATTTCTTTGTTACAATGCATGAGTGCATTGTAACAAAGGAATATTATTATTATTAAGGACAATCTGCCAATCAAGACCTGCTCTTCTTTAAAGAAACAACTTTCTTGGACATCAGTAGATAAATAGCATAAGACACCTGTTTACAAGAACTCCTTCAGAGTTTGGTACGTTCAGAGTCTGATTGCAATCACATCCTAATCAGCTGGTCTGGAAAAAAAACCCACCACCATGATTTCATCATTATTATCTCCTTAAACGATCAAAAACCTTTCAGCTGATGCCAAAATGTTGTTTTTA